ACACACACACACATACATAGACACACACAGACACACACATACATACATAGACACACACACACACACAGACACACAGAGACATACAGATACACACACACACACACAGGGAGAGAAACACACAGTCACACACACAGAAACACACACACACAGGGAGACAGACACACACACACACACTCACAAACACACACACACAGACACACACAGTCACACACCCAGAAAAACACACACACACACACACACACACAGAGACTCACACAGAGACACAGACACACACACACACAAACACACACACAGACAGACCCACACAAACAGACACACACACACACACACACACAGACACACACACCTGTCTCCAGGGGCCTGAAGAAGCCCTGCAGAACGTGTCTGTCGGGAAACTGGACCCTCAGGACCACCTGGAGGACACAAAAACGTTCGTAGATCAGAAATAAAATCCTGATTCTACTTCCAGGAATGTGGCATCGAGTCTTAAAACCAAACTCACTTTGGGGTACCTCTCCATCTTCTCCTTCATCTGTGACTCTCTGAGGGCTTTGGTCATGAGGGGAGCCTCTTCCAACAGCCTCCTGACAAATGGAGGGACAAAAAAACGAGAGTAAACAGGAGTTTTGGCCCGGAGGCAGAGCCCGGTTGCCGTGGTTACCGTGATTCCCCCCTCGGTAATTGCGGCGGTTTAAACGGAGGCAGCGAGACAGATAATGCAGATTAAAGGTTGTGCGCGGGGAGGAATCAACCTGACGGCATTCGGTCGATCTACAAAAACAAGAGGAGCTAATCGCTCACAGCTCGCCGTGTTTGGGGGCCTTGGGAGTGCGTGTGTGGGGTCTTGTAAAGAAAATAAATAAATAAACAAACACGGTTTCTCCACAGCTGCTCGTCCAGAGAGCCGGGACAAACTCCCACATCTGGTTTGAGGAAGAGCTCGTAGATAAATAAAAACTTCAGACTCGTAAACAGACGAAAGGCTTTATCACCGCTTTGGTATTTAACAAAACCAAACTGACCACCGTCTCTAAAGTCGAACAGGGGGGTTTCTGCCCTTTTTATTTTTTATTTATTTATTTTCTGTCCCTTTTTGACCCGATTTTTCACTCATGTGAGAATCATTCCTGCATATATACGGTATATATATATATATATATATTTATATTCTGTGAGGAATTTTGTATATATGTATAAATGTATAGACATGTATATATGTGTGTGCTGTTGTTTTATTTCTGGAGTTAGTAACAACAAAACTATTTC